TAGACCACATACTGGGTCACAAATCAGGACTCAACCAATACCAAAAGACTGAGATTATTCCCTGCATATTCTCAGATCACAATGCTTTGAAACTGGAGCTCAATCACAAGGAAAAGTTTGGAAGGAACTCAAACACCTGGAAGCTAAAGACCACCTTGCTTAAGAATGCTTGGATCAACCAGGAGATCAAAGAACTTAAACAATTCATGGAAACCAATGAGAATGAAGACACTTTGGTCCAAAACCTATGGGATACAGCAAAGGCAGTCCTAAGGGGGAAATACATAGCCATCCAAGCCTCCCTCAAAAAAATGGAAAAATCCAGAGCACACCAGCTGTCTCTACACCTTAAAGAACTGGAGAATCAACAACAAATCAAACCAACTCCACACATAAGAAGGGAAATAATCAAGATTAGAACAGAGATCAATGAGGTAGAAACTAGAGATACAGTAGAACGTATCAATGAAACTAGAAGCTGGTTTTTTGAAAGAAACAATAAGATCGATAAGCCATTGGCCACACTAATCCAAAAAAAAAAGAGAGAGAGAAAGCTCAAATTAATAAAATTTTGAATGAAAAGGGAGAGATCACAACTAACACTAAGGAAGTAGAAACAATCATCAGAAGTTTATCAACAGTTATATGCCAATAAGTTAAGCAACCTAGATGAGATGGATGCATTCCTGGAAAACTATAAACTCCCAAAATTGAACCAGGGGTTACCTAATTCTAATAAATTCTCCCCTGGATTCTTAATAAACCCAAAGGAATCAATCTCTATAATCTATTTCATGTGGGGAAAAGATAGTTTCAGTGACACCAGTAAGACACTCCTTGCTCCCAAACAATGCTATAACAGAGCACTTGCTTACACATTTTATGACTTTATTGTCCCAACAAAAATGAAGACAAGTTTATGCTACTAAGTGACAGGGAACCTAAACCAGTAGAGAGAAAGTGACCAAAGTCAGAGGTTATACATGAAGTGTGGGGTTGGTTCTCAGCATGAGGCTCCTTCATTGAACCTGATCTATTAGGGAGGACCTCTGAAGCCATTATCCCACCACTACCCCCTTAGCAAAATAAGTACCCATTCCAGGAGCCCAGGGAAATAAGGGAGTTGGCATGAATTTCTTTTATTTTCAATAGTTTGGGGAGGAGAATGTAGGCATAGAACAATTACAAAGCACTCTAGGATGCCTCTGGGGCTTCAAAAGATGAGGGAATATATATTAAGGCAGCAGATCTCAAACTTTTTCCAGGAACTACCTGTACTCTTAAAAGTATCAAAGACCCCAAAGAATGTTTGTTTTTGTTTGTTATATCTATATAATATCTATTTGGTATATCAATTTAATTTATATTTGTCATATTAGAAATTAAAACAGAAAAAAATTAAATATTTAACTCATTTAAAAATAACAAGGACAATAAATCATACTATATGTTAGCATACACTTTTAAGAAAATGACCATTAAAAAAAAAAAAGGTTACTTTTTAAAAATCTCTTTAATGCTGGGCTTACCAAAAGGCAACTGGATTCACCTTTCTGCCTTTGCATTCAATGTGATATGAAATCACAATCAGATAGGTTGTAGAAAATTCCTCCATATGGTCATTAGAACATAAGTGGAAAAGGCAGATAATATCTTAATAGTATTGTGAAAATAGTTGCCCTCAGTAACCCATGCTTTGAGAACCAGTGAATCAAAGAGGTATTACAGATTCTCCTCCTAATTTTGTTGATGGCAGATTCTAAACAAGACAGTGCTGGAGTCAGTGCTTTATGGCTCTGGGACTATAGCTGACATGTGCAGACACATAAGGCCACCATAACTGTTTTCCTTATACAATGGAAGTGACAAGGATGAATAAAAGGAAAAGTCCTAGGAATGGAAAAGTCTCAATGATACATTAGAGCACACAAGTGTTCCTTGGCAAGATTGTTACTGTTCTGCCCAAATACACTTCTCTGTGGGAGAGCTAAACTTATTTTCCTTTAAAATTAGATGTGGCCACATGACTTGTCTGAAGCAGTGTGACGTGTGGCATTTCCAGAAAGAAGCTCTAAGAGTAGTTTGTTCTTTATCACACTCTTTCCCTCATGGCAATCACCTGTATTCTATGTGAATACTAGCTGCCAGGTCAGCATGGAGACAAGGATGATGGCAACACTGATAGGACATAATCTCAAGCTAACCCTTTCTGGACATGTAGCACAAATGAGAAACATTTGTGGTCTTCAGCCATTGAGATGTTGGGATTGTTTGTTATAACTGCACAATCTAGCTCATCTTGACTGATATAGACACTTCACTTGAAAGGTCAGTCAAAGATGTGGAACACACCATTTAATGGTCATTTATTGTGAATTTTCTATGCATTAAACAACGTTCCAGGTATTATGATTACAGGTGATGCCAGGGACCTGGGGTAATGACTTGAGCCAAAGATAGAAGCTTAACTGACTGAACCACCCAGGCTTCCCCATGGTGCTGGTTTTGAAGATAAAGAAAGGGCCCATGAGCCAAGGAATGCAGCCTTGATGTCAGAAAAGACAAAGAAAACAGATTCTCCCTTAGAGCTTTCAGATGGAGTGAGTCTGACATCTAGAACTGTAAGAGAATATATTTTTCTTTAAGCCACCAAGCATGTGGCAACTGGTTAAGAAGTTATAAGAAATTCATAAAGCTGGGACAGAGTTGATTAGGAACCAACACCTACCTCATTGTGGTTTTGATTTGTATTTCCCTGATGCCAAGTGATGTTGAGCATATTTTCATGTGTCTGTTGGTCATTTGTATGTCTTCTTTGGAGAAATGTCTGTTCATGTCTTCTGCCCATTTCTTGACTGGGTTATTTGTTTTTGGGGGTGTTGAATTTAATATGTTCTTTATAGATTTTGAATACTAGCTCCTTATCTGATAAGGCATTTGCAAATATCTTCTCTCATTCTGTATGGCTAAAATTAACAAGTCAGGAAACAACAAGTGTTGGCAAGGATGTGGAAAAAAGAGAACCCTCTTACACTACTGGTGGGAATGCAAGCTGACACAGCCACTCTGGAAAACAGTATGGTGATTAATCAAAAAGTTAAAAAGAGGGCACCTGGGTGACTCAGTGGGTTAAGCCTCTGCCTTCAGCTGAGGTCATGATCTCAGGGTCCTGGGATCAAGCCCAGCATCCCCAGCTCTCTGCTCAGTGGGGAACCTGCTTTCCCCTCTCTCTGGCTGCCTGCTTCTCTGCCTACTTGTGATCTCTCACTCTGTCAAATAAATAAATAAAATCTTAACAACAACAACAAAAGGGTAAAAAGACAGCTACCAGGATGTGCACTACCAGGTATTTACCCAAAAGATCCAAATATAGTGATCAAAAGGGGTACCTGCAACCCCGATATTTATAGTAGCAATGTCCACAATAACCAAACTATGGAAAGAGCCCAGATGTGTATCAACAGATGAATGCATAAAGAAGATGTGATATATATAACATCAAATATATGTGTATATATATATATATATGATGTTATATATATATATATATATATACACATATATATGGGATAGAATATTACTCAGCCATCAAAAACAATGAAACCTTACCATTTGCAATGATGTGGTTGGAACTGGAGGGTATTATACTAAGTGAAATAAGTCAATCGGAAAAAGACAATTATCATGTGATTTCACTCATATGTGGAATTTAAGATACAAAACAGAGGAGCATGGGGGAGGGAGGAAAAAATAAAATAAGATAAAATCAGAGAAGGAGACAAAGCCATAAATGTCTCTTAACTATAGGAAACAAATGGAGGGCTGCTGGAGGGAAAGAGGATGAGGTTGTCCCAGATTTAAACCTGTTTTGCCACCTATCAACTGTATGCCTTCAAGAAAATTAACCTAAGATTCCATTTCCTTAGTTGCAAAATTCATTCTATTAATTGCAAGATTATTATAAGTATTGGACATTGCCTGGCATGGTTCTTGATGTGTAAGAAGTGTTCCAAATATGGTATCCACGTATTCTATGACTCCTTCCCATATACTCCTTTTTTTTAAGCAGAGAGGGTAAGTGTTAATGTCCTTTGGGGGCACAATTGGAAATGTATCTGTAAGAGGCAGCTGACCAGCCTTCAGTCAGGGCCTAGACTACCTACAAGGGAGTGAGGAAAGTCATAAATGTGCAGAGCCAGATCTTGTTTTTATATAAAATATTGATATTCTGTTCATCATGGACTTTTTTTTTTTTTTGCATTGATTCTGACTTCTAAAAATACTGCGTTAAGTATTATTTATCTTGATAACCTACTTTTTTGGCACCCCTTTCCATTTTGTGCCCAAGGCTTTGTTCACCCAGCTCTAGTCCTGCTCTTCCCACAGCACTTTGTGCTGGTCACACCACCATCTAGGTCCTGGACCAGCGCAGGTGAAGAAGTCCATAAAAAAGACCCAGGATCTTTATCTTTTTTTTTTTTTTTTAATCTTTTCAGTGTTCCAAGACTCATTGTTTATGCACCACACCCAGTGCTCCATGCAATATGTGCCCTCCTTAATACCCACTACCAGTCTCACCCATCCCCCAACACCCTCGCTTCCAAAAGCCTCGGTTTGTTTCTCAAAGCCCAGTCTCTCCTGGTTGGTCCCCCCCTCCAATTTCCCCCAATTCACTTTTCCTTTCCTTCTCCTAATACCCTCCATGTTATTCCTTATACTCCACAATAAGTGAAACCATATGATAATTGACTCTCTCTGCCTGACTCATTTCACTCAGCATAATCTCCTCCAGCTGACTTTGAACTAATGCTCCCCAAGCCCTAGAACGCATACTGGCCAGGGAAGGAGCAGAAGTGGACTACAACTTCCAGAATGCCCCACGGCACAGCGCCCTCGCCGGATTGGCTGCGCGAGCCCCGCCCCCACCCCGCCCCTACCGCGAGGCCCCAGGGCAGCGAGCCCAGGTCTAGCGCGCTTCCGAAGTGGAATTTCCCCCGGCCTGCGGACTTCATGGCGGTGAGGCCCCTGTCCCGGATGCTGCAGCGGGTGCTGAGGTCCGGCCTCCGGAGCTGTAGCTCCGGGGCTCCAGTGACGCAGCACCGCCCCGGGGAGCCCCCCCAAACTGCTGCGGAGGTGAGCCCGCCCACATCCACACCTTCCCCGGGAAAGGGCGACCGGCCATCTGACCCTCATGCCGAGAAGCACCCAGGCGGGGCTGCGAGGGCGGCTTCTGGGAGGGACCCCTCAGAGCTTCTTGGGGGTGGGGAAAGGAGTGGAGGGATGCTCTCTAAGCTGTCCAGTCTCACCTGATACCCAAGGGACGGGCGCTCCTTGGGGTGCTGCTTAACCAACCACCTTCCTGCCCACCCAGCCATGCAACCCCCTTCCAGGTCTGAGTGACTACCGGAGATGGGGGAGCAGGCAGGTAGGACTCTGGGTCCGTTGAGTTGTTAACTGAACCCCTTCGCAACCTTGCCTCACCCACCCTGTTTCTTGAACACTTTCCTCTTTCCTCCACAGTGGAGGCTGTCTGTGTGTGACCGGGTGTTCTTGTGACACCCTGCTTCATAGTGTGACAGTGGTTAAAAATGTCACCTTGGTGCCACCAGTAGTCACTGGTCATGTCTGTAGTTACAGGGCTCTGTGACTTGTCCTTCATACTTTCAGTTTCATCTTCATGTCCCTTAGGAAGGCTCAGCCTCATTCTTGAGCAGAAGGGAGCAGGATCCTCGTCCAGATGAGGAACTCAGTTTTCCTGAAGGTTTGGGATAGGCCCCTTCAAGTGCTTGATAGCGCCCCACAGAATGATTCATGTCATAACAAGTTTTAAGTTTGGTGTTCTTTTGCCCATGTGGTCAGGGAATAATTTGGGGAGAAGCATCTCTTTTTCATTTTGTGAAACCTCTTTTCTAGACCCACCAGGTCATTCTTTTCCCATTTCTTAGCATAAGACTTCACACCCTGGGAATCATCAGATCATATCCCCCCCACACCTCCAGGGGGAGGGCCTTGGCCTAACTTGCTTTCTTGGAGTCTGATCCCTTCTGGATCTTCAGATAATCAGGCCTCATTGCTGGGAAATGAAATTTTTCAGTTTCCTTGAACTGCGAACTTTATTGAGGGGAAAGTTAGGAATGCAGGATTGGTGAGAGAGCTTTAAAGAGCTCAGGGAAAGGGAAGTTTCTTCTTCCTCATGCCCCTAATTTCCTTTAGGAAGGGATTCGTGCCAAGTGACAGATCTTTCTCTCTCTCCCTCTCAATCTCGCTCTCTCTTTTTTTTTTTTTTTTTTTTAAGATTTTACTTATTTGTCAGTTAGAAAGCACAAGCAGGGGGAGCAGCAGGCAGAGGGAGAAGCAAGCTCTCTGCTGAGCAGGGAGCCTGATGCGGGGCTTGATTCCAGGACCCCAAGATCATGACCTGAGCTGAAGGCACAGGCTTAACCAACTGAGCCACCAGGTGTCTCCATACTTGGTCTCTTTTAGTCCTCACAGTAAATCACGTGAGGTCAAGAGTTTGTATTTTCAGGTGAGGGGGCTCACTGAAATTAACTTCCTGGAGTCACAGAGCTGAAAATAATGGAGCAGTAACTCAAACTCTAGCACCTATGCTCCCTACTCTTCCTTTCAGGTAGAGTAGGATGAAAGGCTGCCCCACCCTTTCCTTTACCCTGTAAGGGGAGGTGTAACTAGCAGCTAAGAACACAGATTCTAGAGCAGGATGCCAGCTTGGGAAGCCCAGCCCTACCACTGAGTAGGTATATGAACTTCAGCAAGTCCCTTTGCCTCCCAGTACTTCAGTCTTCTCATCTATAAAATGGGAATACGTGTCTACTTCATAGTCCTAGAGATTGAGAGAGTTAGTATATGTTGATCTATGTACTTAGAACAAAGCTTGACACACATAGGTGCTGTGTTATATACATAGTTGTTGTAATTACTGTCAGTCTTGCCACCATTGACACGCGATGTGTCCCACAAGTCCCCTCCCCCTGGACACTCAGGATAGCCACTCTGTGAACTCTCTGGTTGGTCTAGACCTCCTATGCTCGACATTCCCTGTTAGGGTTATCCTCAGCAGGCAGATTGCTCCTCGAGTGCTGGGTGCTCTCCCGCCTTTCTAGGTATTTCTGCAAGGTGCTGAACATGGTACTCCGCAGGCAGTGGAGTCAGCAGATGTTTTTGGCTGTTTGAAACTCACCGGGTAAGGGGGGCACGTGGAATGGTAGAGCATTGCCCAGGAATTCCCAGGTTTTCACCTTCACTCTGTCTCCAATTTCACTTGGCTCCTGGAGCTGTCACTTTCCCTCTCCAGCCAGAGGGCTGAACCAGCCCATATTTACCATGGGGGAGGGCGCAGAATGTCTTTAAGAAAATCTCCTAAGGTGAGGCAAATCTGGAGATCTTTTTTTTTTTTTAAGTTTATTTATTTATTTATTCGACAGAGATCACAAGTGGGCAGGTCCGGGGAGTGGGGGTGGGGGAGAAGCAGGCTCCCTGCTGAGCAGAGACCCCCCCCAAAGTGGGGCTCGATCCCGGGACCCTGAGATCATGACCTGAGCCCAAGGCAGAGGCTTAACCCACTGAGCCACCCAGACGCCCCAAATCTGGAGATCTCTATGGTCAGCTTATTCACAGAACTTGCCAGTTGGCAAGAGCAGGAGTGGGGCATTGGGAATCCCTGTCCCCACCTCCCGTCCTGCAGGGTACTTTTCCTTCCACCCTGGGGAGTGCTTAGAGAGACAGAGGGAGAAGCCACTGAGTGTTATCTGTTTGTGTTTTGAGGTGGGGGTGTGAGAGGTGTGAGGTGTGGAATGGGAGCCGGCTGTGAGGACAGTGGAAAGTGGGCCTTGGGCTTGGTCCAAGGATGGTTTGAGCGACTTCTACAGGTGGAAAGGGGAGGTGGTGGGGTGTGCGTGAGTTAAGTGGGGAAGTGGGTTGGGGAGACACAACTACCAGCTGTCCTGATTGGGGTGACCCACATAACCTCTGCAGGGCTTACCCCAGCCCAGAAGCATGACACCCCTCTTTCTTCTTCCCAGGATCCATGCGGGCTTTGTTGGGAACACAGGGGTTAGCCTCAGGTCCTGGGCCTGTTGCTTTAGGACGGGCAGGGCAGAGAGAAGGTGGCTTTCTGCAGGACAGAAACACCCAGTATGCAGAGGGTCACAGTGAACAAATATTGGAGAAGGGGTGTTATGAAGGAAGGAAGTAGGTGTAGGAGAAGGTAGGAGGAGACAGTAGGCCTGGCCTGGGACAGTGACGCACAAAGGGAAAGAAGTTCCAATCTAAGTGTGACTAAGTTCCAATCTAAGTGGGAGCCTGAGGTGTAAAGACCCCACACTTAGGGAGGGATGGAGGAAGAGGGGGGATCCAGACCTGGGGCTAGGCACCTTGCTGGGTCTTCTTGTTTAACAGAGATGATTTTCGAGGCACCCAAGTACGTCCTCCCAAATAGCAAGGATCCCAAATCAGAGCCACTGATATCTGAGTTTGGAATGTATTCTTTTTCTCCTGTATAACCTTATTTATGATACTGTAGAACTGTTTGGGGGCTGGCCTTTATCATTCAAACCAAATCCCAGAGTTAGTGACTGTTTGGAGGGCAGCATCCCTCCCTTAACTAACTCCTTTGTACCACCCTTCCCCACCCCAGTCCGCACTGTGCAGGTAGAAAAGACACAGCCAGTAGCAGGTGGCAGGCTGCCTCGTGCCTGGTCATCCGTGGTCCTGGAGGAGCGCAGAATCCACTTGCCCTGTTTGGGGGGTGTGACAGCAGGTCTGAAACCCCAGCCTTGGCCCATCTGCCATTAAGTAGGGCTGGGCCTTGCGGGACTGACTGGGGGAGCCGGCAAGAGCGGGAAAACGAGTCACAGCACACAACTAGTGCTCTTCCACAAATATGTATGTCATAAATAGATGGATATAGATAGGAATTCTGTTCAAAAAACTTACTGAATACCTGCTCTGTGCTACAACTCCTCCAGCCGAGTCTGGGAGAATTGTTTTCCACCCTTTGTGGATGAGGAAACTAAGACTTAAAGAATTTGGGTGATTTGCTCAACAGCTACTTAGTAATAAAGCCGAGCTTGTAATTCAGGTTTACCGACTCCCAGAGCCTGTGCTCTGAACCACAACAACCAGCCCTGGATTAAAATAGTTCCTGATCTGGGTGTCGCTGGGCCAGTGGTTCTCCAAACTGCAGGCCGAAGAGCTGAGACGTGGGGAAAAACAAAAAAAGTCAGGATCCTATCCCAGAGCAATGGAGTCAGAATCTTTGGAGTGAGGCTTTCCGGCCTCAGCACTTCTTAGAAATACTGCTGGCAATTTTGATGTGTAAACCTTTGAGAGCCACTGTCCTAGGCAAAACCATTTTGACAGTAGAGACCACCCCGGAAATAAAGGATGACCCCAGTGTGACTGGTTTTGCACACACCACTTTTCTCTTCTGATTAGTCCACTGACACAGTGACATACCGTGTAGACTCCAGGATTCTGAATCAGGCAGGGGGGCTTCCCACATGGGACAGTGAGGGGTGGGTAAGCAACAGCCTAGTCGAGGCTGGGCTCTGAGGCTATGAGCGGCTTCTGACATGTCCCAGCCCTTCTTGGGTGAGAGGCATCTCTGTCCACCCTGCCCAGTCGTGCCCTCTGGGTCCAGGGCTCCTCTGACTGGTGCTGATACTTTTTTCCTGCAGGAGGTTTAAAGGAAAGGGAAGATGGAAGAATGAAAGTAGGACGTGCAGTGCTGGAGGAGAGAAGAGGCAGGGGTGAGGCTTGTTAACATCGCAGTGAGGAGTTTGCAAGGCTGGCGGGGTGAGAGACTGTGTGTATGCGCGCGCGCCTGTCATTCTGCCAGTACCGAGTCTGATGAATCTAGATAAAGTCACTCCAGGTCTCAGCGGTGAAATCCAGCGTCCTCCCTGCCCCCACCCAGGGCCACAACCAGAGATTCTGATTGGGAGTTCCTCCGCTGCCCGGTACTCCGCTAGCTCCCTGGTTTTTGCTGAGTCATGCTCCTTGGTCCTCTCACTTGCTCCCAATTGGTACACTTTGACTCCTCCCTCACCCAGCCAACAACCCCCAGCATGTTTAGATTGGGGTGAGAGCGACTCCTGAGAGGCAGGGATCCTGAGTGACTGACAGATTCCTAAGTTGCAAAGAACTGTTGAAGGATTGGGGCAACTCTGCTGGATACTCAGACTTCCAGTTATCTGATCTCTTGGGCTGTAGTGGCCAGTGGGGCTCTTGTCTGTCTTGTCCTCTGCCCCACCCCCAAAGGCTACAGGCGGAAAGGCAGTGGGGTGAGTAGGGAGGTAGGAAGAAGCACTGTTAGGATTGTAACAGACAGCAGTTTGGAGAAGTGAGTCCTGCTTGCTTGTAATGGGACTATAAGCACTGTTTCTTGGAGATTAAGGGGGATACTGGTCTTGGGTGAGCAGAGTGAGGTCACTTATGCACCCAGGAAAATCCTGGAAGCAGCCTCATGTATGTTCACTCCTATCCCTTTTATCTCCTGAGTCAGTGGCCCTTGACCCTGGATGTACCTTAGAATCACCTAGACAGACTTAAAATGTGAGTGCTCAGAGATCCAAATTCAGTTGCTTTCCAGTGCAAGTCTTTTCTTAAGCTGCCAGGTGTTTCTGACTTGCAGCCCAGGTGTAGGAAGTCACTGAAGCGAGGCCTAAGGCCTTCTCCTCCCTTAGGTTACAAGATCACTATAATCCTAGGTGTTTACTTGCCAGCTTCCTGACCCCCTTCCCTTCGCTTACCCGAGGCCATAGCTGTGTTCTTATTTTACAACAGGGCAAGTCAGGCCTGGAGAAGTGAGGGAGCTTTCTCAGGATGTCAGGTCACACCTGACCCCGTATCCAGTCCAGAGCCCTGTCCGAAGACCTCATGAGCGACCTCATGATCGACCTCATGATTTCTTTGTTATAAAGATTCTAAAGAAAGGACTTCTCCCCCACACTGCACCATACTGTGTTCCTTCCTGGATTCGCCTTTTGCAGTTAGAGGGAGGAATTTAGATCTTGAACTCAGAAGACCTGGATTTGAATTCTGGTTCTGCCAGTGGTATTCTTGAACCCCATCCAAGCTTTAGTTATGGTAATCCCTTATGGGGCAGGTGTGGGAATGGAACAGAGGACATTCTTTTTGTTTTCTTTTCTTCTCTTTTCTTTTCCTTTCTTTAAAAAAAAAAAAAAAAAACCCATTCTTTGGAAACTTGAAGGTGTTTTGTAAACGTTGCTTCTGTGGAGCAATTACCTCATCAGCATCTGTTGTGACTGAGGGTTGTAGCTCAGGGCAGGAGCTCAGACTAGATCAGACTTGGGGAAATGCTGAGGTTGGCCATCTCCTTTCTCTCCCTCTGGGAGGAGTTTGGGTGGGCCTTGCAGGGAGGCTCCAGGATTCTCCTCCCTCTGAGCCCCCAGACAGTGGGTGCTTAATCCTTCCCTCCAGCAATGGGTGAGGTGAAGGATGAAGCCTAGAAATGATCTTTGCAGGGGATTAGTGGGCAGTCATCTCAGCCCCTCCCTTCTACCTTTCGAGAGGCTGGCAGCCTCGTTCCTTCTGCAGGCTTCCCTGGTTGTGCTGTCCTTGCCCCAAAAGCCTTCTGCATGAGGGGAGCCTCCCCCCAGCTTGGTGTGGTCCTCAGCTGCTCCCAGTGGCTTATTGGGTCCTCTTGGGCAGTGCTGAGGCCCCAGGGAGCCCAGTGGACAGGGGAGTAGTTACAGGGAGTCAGCTTGTGTGACACTCACTGCCCCAGAGTTAGTGAGTTGGCTTTGAGCTCCTTCCGTCTCCTGTCATAAAGGGAGGTAATGGGAGGTCTGGGTTGGAGAAGTGGCTCACTGTGTCCCAGGTAGCCACCATCCTGCTCAGTTGTCTGCTTCCTCTCTCCTCCTTTCTGGACATGCTTGCCAGCTGGCATCGTTGCTAGGTGCTGAGTGGCATGTTCTCTCCCACTGGCCCATTCAAGAAATACTGGAGATGCTTGTTCCTGGACAGGTTTCCTTTGAAGGAAGGGGGCTGGGCAGTAGGATGGCAATAGGGAGAGAAAGGGGTTGGGGGTAGGGTGCGGGCAGCTGTGTTTCTATAGAGGTCCTGCTCCCTGGGGCTGAGCTGGGGCCTTGGGGACAGGTCCTAACCTTTAGGCCTGTTCCCCAGTCTGTGAATGAGAGGGAGAATCTCAGCTCCCCTAGGACTGTGGAGATGAGGGTGGGGGAAGGGATGCCTGATAGGAGGGGGCTTATGTCCTGGAGGTGGTGGGCTCTCCATGCCCATTTCTGCCACTCAGGGCCCAGAGGCCCACGTTTCCTCTGCCTGACATTGCAGGAGTTGTCCAGGAGGAGACAGTTCCTGCGGGAGCATGGGGCCCCCTTCTCTGCCTTCCTCACTGACAGCTTTGGCCGGCAACACAGCTACCTGCGGATCTCCCTCACCGAGAAGTGCAACCTCAGATGTGAGTCCCATTTCTGGGCCCCAGTCTCCTTGCTGAGGCAGCTTCTGAAATCTCCCCACACCCAAGAAGCCTCCTCAGCCTTCCCCATTCCCTTCCCAGCGTCTCCTCCCACCCTTCTTCCCTGCTTGCCAGGTGGGGTTGTGGGTCAAGATAAGGGTCAAGATTGACTTTTAGGATCCTGGGAGCTGGGTTCTACTTGGAACTAGATTTGAAAACAGAACTGCAATGGAGATTGGTCCTAAATCTCAGTCTTCAGGGCTCTTCCTTCTTCCCTCCTGTTTCCCATGGTTCCCAGCTTTTAGGATGTGGCCAGGGGCAGGAGTGAGGGTGCTGGACACCGCCAACACATGAGGTACACAACAGTGCCAGTGGCCGGAACTGCCATCCACTGAGACACCCAGGCCTGTGACAGAAGTTGCTATGGCCCAGGATTATACACAGAGTATTCATTTTGTAATCATTTATGGAGTGCTTTGGAGGTGTAGCTGCTGCTGGAGGGACTTCCAAAGTTTCTGTCTCCCTCTCTCCTGCTTTCCATGGTTGCTGCCAATAAGAAATGCGTTTACTTCATGGCCCAATAAAGACATGCACGTATATAGTAAACGTTTAGCCAAACAATACTCACTGTATGCAGTTCTGATGTTCTTTAACTATTCTATCTTTAAAGACCAATTCTGGACCCTTTACTAATTTGACTAAATAACCCTATACTAGATCTTGACCCAATCCTTGATAAACTCCCATGGGAGCTGATGGGAGGGGATGGTGCCCCCTTAACCTGCCAGAGCTCCCCTCATTTGCCCCATTCTGCCTCCCCTGAGCAAGTAGTACCTCAGTTTTCCCAACCTGTGAAATGGGACTAATAACCTGAAATAGTCTGGACATGAGGGCACTTGTCACTACAGAGGAGTGTGACTTTTCACGGGTCAGAGAGTACCTCCCAGCCTTATGACCCAAACACATAGGGGTCACTATTTGCCGCACCGGATTAAATGAAAGAGGGTGACCAGTGCCAGAAGGAATGGGCTGAGGGCCAGGCAGACCCTGCTTAGCCAGCCCCCACACTGAGGGAATCAGTGTTTTGACATCCCCCACATCAGGCCGGGTTCTGCTCTCTGCCTGATTCATCCTCTTTAACCTGTTCCTTCAGCCTCCCCTCTGAGGGAGGAGGCGGTGTTCATGTGTCACAGGTGAGAAAGGCAAGGCCTGGTGAGTCTGTAGCATTTGTACCCACTCAGATTTGGTGAGCTCGTTCCTCACCATCCAGGTGGGGTTCAGGAGAGACTTCTGTCCTGGTAGGGAAGTGGGGGTCTGGAGGCACCGTGGGCCCCAGTGCTATGGTCATGGCTTACCTCCGCATCCCCTCCCTTCCTCAGGTCAGTACTGCATGCCTGAGGAGGGCGTCCCACTGACCCCCAAGGCTGACCTGTTGACCACAGAGGAGATCCTCACCCTCGCACGGCTCTTTGTGAAGGAAGGTATAGACAAGATCCGGCTTACGGGGGGAGAGCCGCTCATCCGGCCAGATGTGGTGGACATAGTGGGTAAGTTTGACAAAAACCGTGGCCACTTCTCCCAGTTCCCACTGTATCCAGCGTTCATATCAGCGGCTGACATCCGTTCAGAACATAATGCTCACTTGGCCCTACTGCCCTCTGAGACTGTCATTATTCCCATCTTGTTAGGAAATGAGGCCCACAAGTTCAGTGACTTGCTCAAGGTCGCAGAGCTGTTAAGTGCCAGAGCCAGTGGTTTGCCCTCGAATTTAGGCTAAAGTCCTTACCGGGGCCTTGAGGACCATGTGGTCTGGCTCTTGCTGACCTCTGAGACCTCTCGCCTGCCCTTCTGCCTCTGTCCCGCCCCTCTGTGCACACCCCCACACCTTTGGACTCACTCTTCCTCTTGCTGGGAGCACAGGGCACACTGCCTGCCTCGTTCAAGTCTCTGCACACATGTCCTTTCCCTAAGGAGGCCTCCTTGACCACTCTCTCCAAAGTACATCCCCACATCCACACCCCAGCCACTCTCTATCCCAGACGTTGGCAGGCTAGAGCCCACGGGCCTAATCTGGGGCACCACCTGGTTTTGTATGGCCTGCAGGTTAAGAATGGTTTTTATATCGCTAAAGGATTAAAAATCAATCAAAAGAAAATAGCATTTTGTGACACAGGAAAGTTATATGAAATCAGAAATTCACTGTTTGCTAATAAAGTTTTATTGGAACGTAGCTGCGCCCACTCATTTACGTATTTCCCAGGGCTGCTTTTGCAGAGCTGAACAGTTGCCACAAAGACCATGTGGCCAGCAAAGGCAAAGTAGTTACTGTCTGGCCTTTTGCAGAAAAAGTGTGGCTGCCGCTACTCTATCCCCTTGTTCTTCCTTATTTTTTCTTCATAGCATTTGTCTCATCTGTGGTTACGTTACTTGGTTCTATGTTTATGTTTCCTTTGTCCTGTCTCTCCCTCCCGGCATGAAAGTTCTGGGAGCTGAGGCAGCTTTGGTTCCCAGCCATGTTCCCAGCATGTGGGCACATGCCTGACACCTAGCTGGTGCTCACTGAGACTTGTTGGTTTGGTGTGTGATCTCTCAAGTAGAACATTCCTGAGTGCGATTGTCGGCTGTGCCTCTTACTAGCAGCATACCTGTGGGCAAGTTTTTTTTTCTTTTTAAGATTTTTAGTTCTTTATTTACTTGAGAGAGAGAAAAAGAGAAAGCATGAGCCCAAGCAGGAGCGGAGGCAGGAATGGCACAGGGAGAGGGAGAAGCAAACTCCCCGCTGAGCAGGGAGCCTGCAGGGGGCTCCATCCCAGGACCCTGAGATCAGGACCTGAGCTGAAGGTAGACGCTTAACTGACTGAGACACCCAGGGGCCCCTGCACAACTTTTTAAAAATCCATTCTAAGTCCCCAGGCAGAGATAAAGTTTACCTGAGCAGGAAATGAGCAGAAACGCTTGGCACATGGCAAAGTGCTCTGTAAGGGGTTACCCCGGAAGGCCTCTTGCCATGCCTTGCTTCTGAGCCCCAAGGTCAGGCAGGAAGAGACCTTAAGCTTCTATAGTTGTAGATGATGAAATCAAAGGAAAATAAGGCTCCCAGTTCTCAGATCCAAGCCCCCACCCCTGCTGCCCTGGGTGGGATCTCCCAGGCCTCCGGTCTCTGCCTCATTTGCCAGTTCAGTGAACGTTCTCTGGATGCTTCTTGCATTCTGTACTGTGCTGGAGGCACAGAGGTGAATGAGCTGCAGACGATTGACGATCCACAGCCCGTTGGTGGAAACGGCCACCAGAGCCGCTGTCTGATAAGGACAGAACATGAGGGACCCAGGTGCCCTGCAAGCCTAGAGGAGGTACCCCTGACAGTCTTTTCTTCCCTCCTTCCCCATGGCCAGCTGACTCCAGCTGCCATTGGTTACGTGACCTGGGATCCTGCCGTCATTCCTGTGCTGGAGGAGCTGGCCCAAGGGAGCTGACCCCCTGTTCCAGATGGCCCCTCAGAGCTGAAAACAGCCTGGGTTCCAGGAAAGAGCTGAACCTGCTGAGGCCGGCTGACTGCCAGGCCCCGCCTCCTGATTCAGGCTGCATCATCTGCCCTCTGGCATGGGTCCCTTCTTAAACCCCTGCGTTCCATCCCAGGGCCTGTGGGAGAGCAGAGCGGGTGGGGATCACCACTGGTCAGAGGGAGGATTGAGTACAGACACGAGGACACAGGCCTTTCCATAGTAGCCACTGACCTGCAGAGTGGCAGGAATAGAAGCCAGGAAAGTTGGCAGCCCCGTTCCCACTCTGCCATTGCCCAGCCAGGGGAACTTGTGCAGATTCCTTCCCCACTCTGAACCTCGGTGTCCTCATCTGTTCAGTGGCCCCTTCAAGGGCCTTCGTGCTGTGCTGGCCCATGGTTTATGGGTCCTGGCTGACCAATAAGAGTTGATAGGCATGTAGATGTTAGGTAGGATAAGGCCCCGACTGCAGTGACCTCCAAGGGGGATTTATCTCCCACCTCCAAGAGTGCTGGTTAAAGGGGAAAGACAGGCCTCCCGTTCCTCCCAGTGCTGCAAAAGATGACAGCTGCTAGGCCGAGGACCACTGTGGTGCTGAGCTTGCTAATATCTGGACAACTCTGAGTCTAGATCCTTTGGTCTTCCCCAGAGACAGTTCCTCAGAGCAAAGCTGCCCTAAAGGGCAGGGCAGGTAGGTGCCAGTGGGGAAGCAGGGCTGAGGGGAGGGGAGGGACTAGCCCTCCAAGCTGGGATGCTCACCAATCCTTGTCCCCACCCTCTCAGGTGGGAGTAGCGAAGGACCCCACCCTGGGGAGCAGAGCAAAAGCATTGCATGTTTGGGGGAGCCTGCTGTCTTGATCACTTCGGATCCCTGCCCGAACCCTGGTGCTGCAGAATCCCCGAGTGGAAGACCGCCCAGCCCACTCCGGGTCCCTATCTGCCATCACCGTGATCCCCCTGGGCCAACCCAAACTCCCTAGCACTCCTCCCTGCCAGCTTGTGTGTGCAGGAGTTCCTCTACCCCTTCTTTTGCAGCGGACCTGTCTGGAGCAGGACAGGCCACCAGAAATCTTCTGGCTGGTGGCATTGCTTGCTCTCAATGCTGTGCGACGGGGTGACTGGTGCTCACACGCAGCTTTGGGCACTTGGTGTGTGGCTGCGGCGGGATTGTAACTGAGTGGATGTAACTCATTACATTTTAATTAGTTGAAATTGCCGCACGTGGCCAATGGCCGTCCTGTTGGACAGTGAAGTTGTGGCATTTTTGCATTTATCATTCCATATCTCGTTTTTAAAAATGTTTTTGGACTTGATGAGGATCCTACCCTGTGTCTTTCAGGGCTTCCCCTTTCCATCCAACCAAACTTTGCTGAGTTTTGCAAACTTTCCTGAGCTGCAGTCTGCTTATGTGCAGCTAGCACCCTTTATCCTGCCGGGGAGCGTCTGGGCTGTCCCCAGTGTTTTGATGTTTCAAGCAGCACTGTTTGGAACATTTTCATTCTGGCTCACGTGTCCCGTAGTGCACTTCCTGTGGGAGGGGAACTGTTGCCTGGTAGGATGGGTGAATGTTTAACTTTGGAAAACAATTTGGTGTTATCTTACAAAGAGTTCCTTCCAGCTTCCTCTGACCCAAGTCCTCCTCTGCGCTCAGCATTCTTATTCTGGATTTTTGCCAGTTAAACAAGGATGAAATGGTATTTTATTTGGTCTTAATTTTTATTTCCCTATTTAAGAATGAGGTCAAGCATCTCTCAACATGTATATCAGCTCCAAATATCTTTTTTCTTTCCTGTGTAATACCACCTTGTGTCTTCTGCCCCTGTTTCTCCTTTCTGTTTTTCTTTGTTTTTTTTTTTTTTTTTATATTGGTGTGGTAAAAGTTCTTATGTTACAAATGTCTCTTCCCAGTTCGACAAAATAAGCAACACTTTGTATAAGAATTCTTTTCGTCAAAAGTGGTTGTTCAGTGGCTCCCTTTTGTCCTTTATAGTTAATGCTTTTTATGTCTTTTTAAGGAAACACCTCACCCAAGGTCAGAACAGCTCCCTCTGTTTCCACTAAAACAGTTAAAATTTTGCCTTTTGAGCCTGGTGGTGGGTATTAAGGAGGGCACGTATTGCATGGAGCACTGAGTGTGGTGCTTAAACAATGAATCTTGGAACACTGAAAAAAAAATTTTAATCAAATAAATAAATAAATAAATAAAATTTTGCTTTTTGCTTATCGAAGTCCTCAGTTCATCTGTGGCCAGTTTTTGGTAGTCCAATTTCATTTTTTTTCCCCATGTGATAGTCTCATTTTCTCTGCATTCTGCACCTTCTTACTGAAGCCTCTGGCTCCTCGGTAAATCTGCCCTATGTGCATTTATGTGTTGGGTGCTGTTCTGTTGGTTGGCTCGTCTGTCTCCATGCCAGTATCACACAGCCTCGATCACTGTAGCTTCACAGTAAGGCCACTATCTGCTCAAACAAATTCTTTTTATTCTTTAGCAGTGTTTTAGCTATGATTTGTCCATGGACATTTTAGAATCAGCTTAGCACGTTCCATGGAAAATTCTGTTTGGATTCTTTTTTTCTTTTTTTTTATTGTGTTAAAATACACATAGCATAAATACACATAGCATATAATGTACCAACTTAACATTTTTCTTTTTCCTTTGGAGAGGAAAAGCACACCCACGTGTGTTGACATGCACACGTTGAGTAGGCAGGGTGGGGCCAAGGGAGATGGAGAGAGAATCTTAAGCAGGCTCCACATCCAGAGCGGGAGGCCTGATGTGGGGTTCGATCTCACGACCCTGAGATCCTGACCTGAGCTGAAATCAAGAGTCGGACGCTTAACCAACTGAGCCCCTCAGGCGCCCCTATTTTAACCATTTTTAAGCAAACAGTTCAGTGGTACCTAGTACATCATACTGTTGTGCACCATTCCACCATCAATACCCGTAACTTTTCATCTTGTAAATCTGAAACTCTGTAACTATTAAAAAATAGTTTCCCATTATTTCCCTAGCCCCTGGCAAACACCATTATGTTTTGTCTTTATGA